GAGTTGATCTTGGTGCACGGGGAATTTTCAGTATATTCGGTGGCTGCAAAAAACGAAACAAAAAACAACATTTCAACTTTCAATGCACCGCAGAAATTAAAATTCACTCTTAGGCTTCAAAGTAGATAACAATGTATGGGCTAAATTTGTAGGTAACAGCCTGGATTCCATAAGAATGACTTTCCCACAAATCTTTCACCTCTTGAGAGAAATCCCACAAACAAGAGGAACAAAGCAATAAAGAGTGAAGTCACGCTAGTTAATGGGTTTGACTTTCTTTCTTTACACTGCATTTGCATTTCCTCTTAAATTTCTTTTTCACATTCTTTCTTTGTTGCCAAGCACAAGCAAGTAAAGGTTGCAGGGGAATGGAATGGATGAAAATAGAGGATCCTGTAAAAGGGTGATCCATTCTCATCCAATCACTGTACTGTTACTGATGACAAATTGTTCCCCATCCCCTTTCATGGTTGATTCCTGGCCACCTGCTGCTCTCAAACAATGAGAATCATTTGCATAGTTATCCTACAAAGGGTAAACCCCAGTTTAGCCTTACTCAGAAGAGAGCACAACATTTAATTAGAATGAAGAGTTTTTCATGTAATATTTAATACAGAGAATTATGGCATTGTTTCAGCAACTGGTCTTGTGACATCAAAGGTATTTTTCTGTAAAACTGCTCCTGTGCAGTTTGAAAAAAAAAATCCTTGCTCTGTGTTACTGATTCATGGCAAAGAAAGTTTTTTGTAGCCTATTTTGCTCTGCAGTTGTCCATTTTGTGAGGTATTGTAGTATGAAGGAGGCAACTGCAAGCTGTTTTTCCCCTTAACAGTCATGGTAGGTTTAAACTGATCTTGATCTTGTTGACCTCATTCAGCTGGCAGAATAAAAATAATTATTCATGTGTGATCAGTTTCAAACCTGAATGGTTGTTAGGGGAACTAACAGCTGGCAGTTGCTTTCTTCATGCTCCAAGAACTTAAAAAAAGGAAAATTGCAACACAAAAAGAGGCTAAAAGCTGTCTGCAGTAAATCAATGACACACTGGGGTCCTTACAAAGTCCAAGTGCAATGGAATCATTCCAAGAAGAATATTGGAACTTCTGGAATCAAATCAATCAACATTTTAAAGAAGTATATTTAATTTAATGTCTGGATTTTTTCCAATCAAGTAGAATATATTTGTACCAATACAAGAAGATGTATCAGCACTAAAATCAAACACCTTACATCATTGGACCCACCTGTTGATTTGAGGTTGACAGAGCTGGGATCCCTCCAAAAGAATGTACATGATCAACCAACTGGCGGAGTGACATATTTGATGGAGACTAAAGAACAGAACAAAATAGTAAACACAGTAAAACAATTGTATGCGACTAGAAAAATTGACCCGAAAACACCTACACATATTCCCCATAGAAAAAAAGAGCCTGGCAAAACTTTAAAATTTGCTTTGGGCCAATGCAAACGTTGACTCAAACACAGTACAGTTTTGGCAGACAAGCTGCCAGGTCAGCCATAAAGTGTAGTAATTTTCTGTTGTTTGCAGGGATTAGTGTTTCTACTTTTTTCGGAAGCTCAACTTTAGTAGGGTTACGAGAGTATTTAAGGAGTTTTAAACTTTTTAGGAATTGTAAACAAACAAAAAGACCCTTAAAAAATCAACCATCACGCCTTGTGTGTCCAACATTGAAACGTTGTCTGCTGCAATTCATAGAAATTCCCTCAGAAATAATAAATGCAAACTTTTGAAAAAGCAATCATACAGGGGTACAACTTCCCAGACACACACACGTCACTTTTACAATAATTTCTTTCTTTGAAACCAGATTTCAAAAATCCATGCATTCCAAGATTTTGACAAATTCATGGCACTTGGGTAAAAAGTTCATCCAATTTTCAAAGGTGTCTAAGTGGTGTAACTCCTGCAGCATAAATACATTAGTTTGTGGATCACCAGAGCACCTTCTCTTCTTATGTCCGGCATTTCATACTGATAGAAATGAGCTTAAGAAAGATTTACAAGTATTGGAATTCAATGAAGAGACCCCTTCTGTAATCTTAAAAGATCAAGATAAACTGTTGGCCTTATATGATTTCTCATCAAAGATTCTCTCTATATTGTTCATTCAATTCAACCTCATACAGAAACAAGCTGAAGACTTTGTGCTTTCAATTAATTTTTACTGATATTTTTTTTCCAAAGTCAGGGATTGAATGGGTGTATGCATACATGTCAGATGTCCAGTTGTATTTTGTGGATTGTATTTCATTTTATTTTTGTTACCAATTTGTGCTCTGTTTCCTGCACTGAAGTGATTTAATGTCTTTGAGTGAATTTGGGTTGGGTAGGGAGGGGGTTTGAATGTGGAAATCTTGATTGAACCTTGTGAACGCTGAAAAGTGGCAAATGCAGGGTTCTGTCCATTCAATCATTCCAAGATGAGCAAGAGAAAGAAAACTTTGTCCTTTTCACCTGCACTAGAGACGTCGGTGCAGCATTCACAGTAGTGGACACATGACTCGTGGTAACAACAGCTGGAACGTCAGCAGCAGCAGGTAATACCACTGGTGCCTGCTGGACAGGGACAAACAAGGGTGCATGAACCCGCTTTCTAGCCTCAGCGACTGCGCCAGGATTCGGCACATCGGGCATCTCGATTTTCGGCTGCGTCGGAGTGACGAAATTCTCAATGGCAGTCAAGCAAGTCACTTCTTCTTCATCATCGAGTCCATCCGCAATCACGGGAGAAGGGACGTCTTTCCTCAGAGTGCGTCGCTTCTCAGTTGCAAGAGTCCCGGGTTGGTCGTTCTCATCTGGCTCACAAACGGTTTCGGTTCCTGCAAATGACCAATTCTTCGTTACAAAGAACATTTTCTCGGGCGCCCCACCTGTTTCTCCGTAAGCGCCAGTTCTCGTTTTATCTCTAGTTTACAACGAATTTTTTGCGCTGATTCTGAGCATAGGCCATATGGATTACGGAATTTTGCAACATTTTGTCCAAAATGCACAACATGACAGATTTCTTGGAAATTCTTTAGCTTCGTTTGAGAATGCATGCCTTTCTTTCAAATGAACAGCATGTTGCAGAGAATTTCAGAGAATCAACAGGTATTGTATAAAGGAATAAGTTTGATTTGGAAGGAAGGGTTTCTTTCACATACAATTTTGTTTCATTTCATTTTTCAAGGCTAACGGCAGATTAATATGAAGACAGGCTCAATAAAAGGAAATTAATCATTATTTAAAATGTTTAAAATCTTCATTTCATCATAGAGACTTATAAATTCTTACAGGAGTCGGATTATCCATTGATGTACTGTACTTCACAGAATTTGATATCAATCCACAATATTTCCGTCTAAAATGAGGTAAGAATCATGAATCTTGCAACTACAAATATTTCATTATAACGAATTTTCATCAGGTCTTTGGGAGTTAATTGTAACGAGATTTTACTGTATCTCAATCCGTAATCGAAAATTTCACTCTTGGGATTTTTCCAAATCGTCACAAGCTTAATCGAGAAAATGATGAAAACATATTTTTAAGTTAATCTTCCACCGGATTTCTTTTTCACTGTGAAATGAACGATTTCAGAGTTGGATTCGGAGCTCTCTTCTTCCATTCCTCCAAGGATTTTCAAAAATATTGTACTGTACTTCACACTCCAATTTGAGGAAGAAAGAAACTGTTCCCGGACACTCACCCACGTCCCGCATGGTGATGCTGGAATTCATGGTCTGCGTATGTTCACTCGTCACCAACACAGCTTCGTTCTTGAGAGAGAAAAAAATTAAATATATAACCCGAAATAGTGAAGGGTGACATTTGAAAAAAAATAAAAAATAAAATAAACAGGAATCGCAACCAACTCGACGGGTTCTTCCGGGAAAGTTGTCCTGCTTCAAGACAGCCGTCCACAGCAACTCGAAAGACTTCTTAAACTTGTCGTCGGCATTCTGCATATTCTTGTCCCAGAGCTCGTTGAACTTGACGAGTTTCGCCTTGATTTCGGAGCGAGTCGATTTCCCGTGACGAGCTGGAGATTGGAAATTCTGCATGTCTCGAACCAGCCGTTCCAAGTGCGGCAGGGATTTCACCAGGGCTCCTCGCAAGTCCTGAAACGCGGCCCGGAAATCCTCTTGCTCATCATCCCAACGCCCTCGTTTGTTGGTGAGTACATCAGGGTCTGTTGTTGGAAGGGCTCGTTTCATTCCAGGTAAACTGCAAGTAAAAAAATGAGTCCATATGAGTCACGCATTCATTCTTTCTCAGTTCATTGAAAAATAACACAGATCTCCAAAAACTACTGAGTGGGAAAACAAAGGAAGCAATGTGCAGAAAAAAATGGGTCACAGACACACACCACACTATTCTCATCAGGATTCTGGCAGAAAAAACTTTGAAATTTTGTTTTATCTTACCCAATAAACTCCTATCTACATTAGGCAAAGAACACTGAGTTGAGTGTGTTTGTAGAACTCTTCATACATATTGGTTTCAATCCAATGGTAGAAATACAATACAATCACAGTTATACAAAGCAAACTAGACCAGTGTTCCCAAACCTTTTTGGGCATACAGACAAGCAAATTTCCATAAATTTTTTGCAGACTAGCAAATTTCCCAAAAATATTTTGCAGACAGGCCATGTTTTGTACAATTTTTGCAGAAACAAAAAATTTGTTTGAAAGACTTTGTGGCAGATACTGTAAAAGTCTTAGCTTTTTGTCTTGAAAAATTAACTCAGAAACCAATGCAGCAGCTATGGTGGAATGTCTTCAAAAATTGGAAAGGTTGTGTTGACCCTTATTTTTAAGGAATTGTGAGTCAGGTGTACAGTAATAATATACAATTTAGTAGACACTGGTACAGTAAGAACAACACAAGACAATGCACACAGTTTAAAAGTCCAGAGGACTGATAATATTTCCTAAAGATTAATGTAGAGATTCAAGGTTAGCTATTCCTGGTTCTCTCTCACCAAACTCTAGAAAGGATCTGAGTCTATTGAATGGATATTCACCATTTAAAAAGACTCAGGACAAGACAAGGAAGAAACACACAATAACACACTTCTCTGTGAAGTAGTTCCCTTCCTGTTTGGTTCTTTGTGGGACAGTACTTCATCTTACTAGGTGAGTAAATGTCTTTGTAAATTTTCCTTCATAAGGAAAGTAGACTACTTTCCTACGATATGTCACTTAAACATGAAAGCTGTAGGTGGGGATCACTCTACCATCACTTCTCTTGGAAGGACAAGATGTGCAGGAAAATCCTGATGTATACATTACTCTATTGCAGCTAATTAAGATAATTAATGAGGCAGAGAAAAATGGAATACCAAAAGTATTTCCTTTTCCAGGCTAACAGTTGTCTTTGATGAAATTTTCTCAGGAAAGAGTAAAAAGTATTTCAGCATGTGAATATTTGCCTGAGCCATTATTAGGACAAAGGCCAACTTTTCATTTGTCATCAGATAACTTGACATGATTACAAGATGCACAACTTGAAAATCTGGATGAACATTACTCAGGACACTGACATGATGCTAAAAAAGGGGCTTCACTGAGATAGGACTGGATACATATCATTATTGTACATATTTGAAATGAATGGAGACCAAGAATTTTCCTTTTAAAAATCCCAACAGAAAGAAACATTTTCAAGAATTTAGATAAGACACTTCATCAAGGGAAGGACAAACCAAGAAACACCCTGTCATGAAGTAGAATGATCCACTCATTTACAGAAACATTTAAAAGGAAGTATTCCTTTCATCTGATGAAAGGATGCTATACAGTGAATGACATGAAAGCTGTAGGTGGGGATCACTCTACCATCACTTCTCTTGGAAGGACAAGATGTGCAGGAAAATCCTGATGTATACATTACTCTATTGCAGGTAATGAAGAGAATTAATGAGGCAGAGAAAAATGGAATACCAAAAGTATTTGCTTTTCCAGGCTAAAAGTTGTCTTTGATGACATTTTCTCAGGAAAGAGTAAAAAGTATTTCAGCATGTGAATATTTGCCTGAGCCATTATTAGGACAAAGGCCAACTTCTCATTTGTCATCAGATAACTTGACATGATTACAAGATGCACAACTTGAAAATCTGGATGAACATTACTCAGGACACTGACATGATGCTAAAAAAAAGGGGCTTCACTGAGATAGGACTGGATACATATCATTATTGTACATATTTGAAATGAATGGAGACCAAGAATTTTCCTTTTAAAAATCCCAACAGAAAGAAACATTTTCAAGAATTTAGATAGAAATGACCTCAAAATACACACTTTCTGCTGTCACTTTCAAGCTGGTGTCCTGCAGCAATATCTTTCAAGGACTTGGTTCCACCTCCACCTGGTTTAGTTGAATTCATCACACCTGCAATATAAAGAAATAGTGCAAGTGGACTCTATGATTACTAAATCAAGATAATTTCAACATGTCAATACAATATGCAATCACACACACTGCTCTGCCAAGTACAATTTGTGTGAAGCTCCTTTGTTCTGCAAGGCAATCCGATTTGACATACATGTTATCAGTTTCCTTCTGCATGCCAAACTGATGGAACAATGATGCCCAGAATGTACTTCAAACAACATACTGTACAGTGAGACCCCCATGTGCAGACCTCACAACCTGCAGACAATTCAACATAGGGACACTTATTTTCCCATAAAAAATTGATAAAAAAAAGGCCTGACATGAGGACACTGACTTGATATAGGGACATTTTGTTATAAAATTGCGAATACATTTCAGGCCAAATTACAAGAAACAGATATTTCCAACCCTATAATTGATGTAAGAAAAGTTCTTGAGCATTTCTCTCACCAATTTACCATCCATTTAACTAATTTTAAAAAATTACCTCTGGCATAGAGGGACTTCCACTTTTTTTTTTTACTTGGATGATATTTTTGTAGATGCCAACATTTCAGTGTACAGTGCAGAGATTCACTATTCAAGGCTCCAAATGTTCTTATTGAGTTTAAAATGTTTGACAAGTGGCAAACAATTTTTTCAGGGAATTCTGAAGAATATTTCTTCCATGAAACACCAATTGAAAATTATTTATTGTAAGTCCATGGGAAAACAAGACTCAACTTAGGGACACTCTTGATGCAACAATTATGTCTGCATCTTGGGGTCTCACTGTAATTTGTTTGAAGAAAGGCATACAAACTCATGACAAAACCAATAAACCACTTTGTTGAAGTAGTTCTGCCCAAAAACTCAAATGTGAGGAAAGTTGAGAATAATGCTTTGCAGCTCAAGGCCTAGAACTTGTACAATATTTCCACTTCTGTTGAATCCAAATTTGTACAAAAGAAATGCTGTAAATATGTTCAACTTTACCCTCTCAGTACATTGAAGGCACAAGGATTTTTTTACAATCCCAATAAACTCAAAGGAGGAAAAAAACATTTGCTTTATTTGATAAACACATACAGGTTCACAAGCAAATGGTTGGTGCAGAAAATTCTGTCCAAGACACTATTTCTTCCCCTTCTCAACACAGGAACAAAGTCTTTTTTCTTCTCACAATGCATATTGTTATCCATATATCCTTAAAATCTCCAAATTTGAGTCTCTCATTTATTGGAAGCTGTGAATAGGGAAAAGGCTTGGAAAGACTTTTCCTTTCAGACAAAAATATTTCAGTCTTCATTGGACTTTTTCACAATACCAAAAATCACACCAGAATCAGAGACAGAGAAACACACAGAGATTTCCTACACATAAGTCCCTGCACTAGTGCCTGCTGGGGTGGGATTTGGCAGGGGCTTATACAGTACTTGTATACTCCAAGATGCATGAGGGGACAAGGAGAACAAAACGTGTAGGGAGTACCTGCTGATTTTCATCTTCATTATTTTATAGAATATCAATGGAAAATTACCAATGTCAGTACAGTGGTGCCTTGCATAACAATTGCATTGCCTGACTAATCAGCCCAACAACCACTGAAAACCTGAAAAAAATGCCTTGCTTAATGGCCAAATACCCACCTTGCAAATGTTTTCTGACCTTCCCTTGAACTAATAAATTTAAAATGAAGCATTTTTAATGCTGTTGTTTCTTCCACTCGAAAAAATTGTTCATTTCTCTAGCATATTTTTGTTGAGGGAAAGTGAGAAGAATGGAAGGACATCGTAATTTGTTATATTCTAGGCCAAAATGTGCTTCATGTACCTCATGCAAAAGTGGCGTCAATGCAAAGTTATACCAGAGGATTGATTCCTGCTTTGCTCATAGATGTTGCACATGCATGAAGTACAATTGCTGTGGGTCATTTTTGAAAGAGAGCAAGAAATTCAACGAGGGAAAGCATTTGAATGAACTATAGCAGTGTTTTCAGCAATTGGTGCTTCGTTATTTGAAAATTTAGGCAAATTTTTAAAATTTTCTGCCAGATTTTTTCTCTTGGGAACCAATTAATGGGTTTCATGTTACTTTTTGAGGGAAAACTTGACCCACCTTATGGGTCACTTAACAACCGCTGCACAGGAACAAATTGTGGTTATTAAGCAAGGCACCTTTGTATCTGCATGAAGAATAAAAGGAAGTAGAAGGGATTTGAAAGATGCATGCATCTGTACAGGTACTGACTTGAATTTAGTGGTGGAGGGAAAGAAATCTGAAATAATTACTTTAGAACAAAGGATGCATCTGTACTGACTTGCAGTCAGGGGAGATATGTCAACCTTGAGGAACTGGCTCATTCTTCATTTGTTATCCTTTCCTTTGCTTCTTTCTATTCTCTCTTCTTCAGATCTTCTCCCATCAGCAGAGCTTGCACTGGTTCACACACACACACAAACTGGGGACATATTTTGCCTCAATACAAGTTAGCAGTCAAGCTGGATTAGAAGAGTAAAGGAATGAGTAAAAGACAGCAATGAGCCTGGGACAGGGGCTGGAATTCCTTCTTGGAATTTGTGGGTTTGAGGATAAGGTGTATTTCACACAGGTTAATAACTACTCAGCAAACTCTAGCTTCAACTATTAGATTGTACTGGGCTAAATTCTATATCTTCTTCCTTTTTCTTAAATAATTAGCTCAACATATAATAATTACTCTTCATCAGCTTTTACTATTTGTTTTCAAGGGATAGGATGAAACTCTAGCTAATTCTGAGAAATTATATATTGCCTAACAGCACACACACACATACTGGTTCATGATAATACGAACAGTACAACAAACAACAGTTTATATGAGAGCTTGAAAAAATCATTGACTTTTGTTAGCTACTGATATGCCTGTATTTTTCCATCCTACAAATGTTTCTAAAGACCAGGAAGAAATACACACCTTCACCCATCAACTGCCAAATGTCCTACACACCCATATTTGCTTGAACTCACTTCATTTACATCTAGATAGGCAGGGGATATTTTAATTTTTGCATCTGTTCTGATCAATCAAAATACAGTACTGTATCAGAAAATTGAATATAATATGCCGAAGCATTCCGAACTAACCAGGCTACAAGGAAATTGCAGGCAAAACTCATCCCTGCAACAGCCATGTGGGGATCATAAAAATGAAAAAGTGGTCCCCAGGAACTGGTCAATCTCAACAGTTCCTGTTCTCAAGATGATAACTGATTATTTGGCTATCAAGCTTAGCAAAAAAGGGTCTGGACACACATAACCTCATAGAAAAAAAAAAAAACTAATTCATTAGCTGCATGGCATGTGGAGGAGATGAACTGGATCTCATATTCACAAGGGTAATTCGGGGCACTGGGAGCACAGACCTATGAGAAACAGGACAAATAGTTGGAATACCGTGTCAAACGCTGGGTTTCTCACCTCCTGTTTCCGAATGCCGACGCGATCGTCCGCACTTGAGCCACCTCATCACTTTCAATCTTTATTTTTTTTTCTTTCGAAAAAACCAGGATAAGAGAAATCAAAAAAATGTACATCAATCAATCAATCATAAGCAGAACGACGTAGTTCACACCAGTCACACTCGCGTCCAGTTCATCCATAAAAAATAATGAAAAAATATGTTTCCCACGACCGAATTCCAAACAGACGTTAATTCACCCGGAGAAATTTCCTTATTCCCCTTTGCCCACGCAAATGACTGTACATAGGTCGGCATCTCAAACCTTCCACCGTGTCCACCATTAATGTACAGGAAGCCCCCTGTTCCTTTCCCACCCTCCACGGGGGGAAGAAACCTCGTCAGAATCGATCCAAGGGTCCCCCAGACATGATCTACCCAGTGCTCTTGTCCCTGCTTTTTTCTTGCGCAAAATCCACCGAGTATTATCACGAAACCGAAACAAGACCAGATGCCGTGATCCACAAGCACATGTACTTCCACGCACCAGACCCCAAAGAGTTCTACCAGGGTGAGTCAAAATTTCGTATTATTCCAGTGATGTGCTCATCTCTGAGGGAGGCTCATTGTCTTGAATTTTATTGCTTTTTTTCTTTCCTGTGTCGAAAAAAAAATAATAGCCAAAAGGCCTCGGAAAATTCCAGCATTGGAGGTTTGAGAAGAAAAGCCTCCGATTTAGAGTGGTTTTCAAAACATTGTTTTTCAATGGAATTCAGACAGAGACTCAAAACATGATTTAAATTGGGGGAGGTACAGTACAGTGAGACTGTTGTCCTTTTTTTAAACCTAAAAGAACTGTGAGCGGAGTATTTTGAATAATTCTTTATTAACAAAATACTGGGTTGACAAACATCAACAGAAACAGGTGAGAGAATATTCCAAGTTCAGATCTTGTAAAGAAATGTTTAGCCTGTCTTCTGAACTTCTACAAACCAGAACACGCTCTGAGCTGCTTAAATGCAAATACTCCATTTAAACAGACTCAGCAACAGAGATACACAACACCCAGGAAAAGTGGCACCTTTGAATAGCATGAATTCAATAAGAACACAAAAGGCCACTTAGGTCAGGAAAAGTGCCTATTCATGAGAGGGATATTGGGAAATATCTTTCATCTCATGAAATAACCTTTAATGGAAGCAAGGATCAAGAAAATGTGGGGAAGGTCCACTCCCCCATCCATCACTCTTCATGGATGTCACCTTTTACTGGAAATACTAATGGAGTCCATTAGTATTACTTGAATACAGAATGGAATTAATTAAGGCAGTGGGAAAGGGGAATACACAAAGTATTTCTCTTTTCCAGGATAACACTGTACATGCGGACACCTTGACACGTGGACAATTCAACATAGGGACACTTATTTTCCCATTTAAAAATAAATGATGAAAAGGCCCACATGAGGACCATGAATCAACATGGGGACATTTTGTGATAAATTTGCAAATAAATTTTAGGCCAAATCACCAGAAACAAATATTTCCAACACTAAAATTGATGTAAGAAAAGTTCTTGTGCATTTCTCTCACCAATTTACCATCCATTTAGCTGATTTAAAAAAAATTACCTTCAGCATAGAGGGACTTCCTTCTCTCTTTTTCACCTGAATGTTATTTTTTTTACAGAGAATGCCAACATTTTTATGTACTGTACAGGGGTATCAGTATTCAATACTCCAAATGTCCATATTGTTTTGAAATATATCGATTGAATCAGTTTAAATTGAGAGACAATTATCATTTTCATGGAATTATGGTGAGTATTTTGTCCATAAAACACCAATTAAAAAGTATATAATGTAAGTCTAAGGGAAAATGAGACTCAACTTAGGGGCACTCAGTCTAGATGCACCAATTATGTCCGCATCTTGGGGTTTCACTGCATTCGACTTGTCAAGGGTCAAAACTTCAATTGTAATTTTTTTTTTCCAGAACCCGAGACACGGCGCTCTTTTGCCGAAGACCTCAACACCGAAGAGGACAAAGAACAGCGCCACTACAAAATCATCTTCATCAAGGCGCCGACGACCCCGGCCCCGGCGACCACCAAACCGCCGCCTCCACAGCCGCCGCCCAAGACGCTCGTCTACGTCATGCTGCCGACGGAAGACACTCGCAAGCAGCGGGCGCCTGCCACCACTCAACCGCCGCCAGTCGAAGAGCCGCCCCAGGTCTACTTCCTCAAGTACGACGGCGACACGGACTCGGTTCAGTTGCCCAAGACGATCGTGAGCGACCAGAGTGCGGACCAAGTGCACGACCTGGTCATGAGCAAATTGGGCGGCAAGGCGTCCGTTCATCGCGACGATTCCCACAAGTTCGGCATACGAGACTTTGTCAAGGAAGAGTCAGAGTTTCTGCAGAGACTCAGGGATCAGGGGCCTTCGGCGTTGGAATATTTGCACGGATTCGCGCCCAGTCCGAGTTCCCGAGAATTCATACCACCGACATCGACCCCGACACCAGTGACGACGCCAACGACAGCGTCGACAGGGCAGAAAACGGGACTGAGAATTGAGTCGCACGGGACGAAAAATTATGACTGGCTCAAGCCGAAGTCGGCGCCATCGTCCAAGCACAAGGGTTTCGATCCCTTTGCACGTGTAACAACAATGACGCCAAGCACGTGAGTGGAAATTTTTGAAACATCAATATTCCCCATGCAATGAATTTGTTTAGATCTTAACATAATTGAAAAGAAGATTTTATTGTACAGCACAACTATTTTTTTTTTGCTTTCCGAATGTTTAAAAAACGCCTTTCAAACCAGTGATACGCGCCATTTCCTTCAATGTATTGTACAGTACAGTACATGCTTTTCAACAAATATTGTAGCTAAATAGTACTGGAAGTCATGAAAAAGCAATGGTAAGTATGAATCAAATCAGCAAGAAGACAAGATCTGGGCCTTGGAAACATCAGGAAAAAAAAAATTTACTTTTGGGTCCCTGTGTTGAACCACAATGTTGGAGGCTGAGGTGGTACTGTACTGTAAAAGGATTCTGGAGAACCAGAAGAGGTTAGTGACCTCAAAGTGCATATTATCATGAGAAGAAGCACAAATAAATAAAGGGAAAAATCCAGGTTGTAATTGATGGCTTGTCAAGCAGGTCTTTTCTCCCAGACATGGGCAAGATTGTACTACAGAGCAGCATTCTGTGCAATTAATACAGAATACTGTGCTCCCTGCAGCAGTCTTATTCAGAACCTTTTTAAAGTTCTTTGTGACTCTTCCTATTTGGTTCACAGAAAGCCTTCTTCAGAATGTCAGATGTCCTTGAAAATTGGGTAGAATAAAATTTCTCAGAATAACACACAGAACAAGCTTCATAGGAAATGGACAATTTTATAATTCATCCCTTAAGGATATTTGATCATTTGATGACATGTCATCACTATTTCTTACACTAAAATTAGTTGATCTTGACTATCCTTTGAGACTGGGAATAATATCAACCATGTGGTTAAGATATAAATTATTTGAGTCAAGATTGGCTAAGAAATCCTCAATACTGAAGAAGTACACTCCAAGAATAACAAAACATAAACCCACATAATACAATATGTTATCCTTATTTCCTTAAAATATCCAAGTTTGAGTGTCTCCTTGGTGGAAGCTGTGAATAGGGAAATGGCATGGAAGGTCTTTTCCTTTCAGATGAAAATAGCCTTCATAGGACTTTTGTGCATTGCCACAAATTACACCAGACTCACAGACTGATGGCAAAACACAGAGATTTCCTGCACAGAAGTCTCACTGTGAAAGAAATGCACTGATGCCTGCTGGGGTAGGATTTGCCAGGGGTTTATGTACTCCAAGGATCATAAAGTAACCATGAATAGAAGGTACATTACATTCCATGTTTTGTCCTGCATAGAGTATTCCTCACCCTGGAGATTCCTAGAAGGGGATTCTTGCTGGCAAAAACTCATTACTCCTAGACAGGGAATGATAAAATTACAGTAGAAGATACTCCAGAACTAATCACAAAGGATAAAGGAATGCACTTCATTGATCTTCCTCTTCTCATTAATTTGAGTGACTTCTCAGTGCACTCTTGAGAGCATTCAGCTATACTGTAGCTATACTGGGGTTACTGTACAGTACATTTATATTTTCATCAGAGGGAGGCATGACTTGGCAAGGCCAGAATCCAACTTTGGTAACCAAATTTCAGAGGTTCTTTTCATGGTGCAAAGTACAAAGTAAAGACAAGGACTAGCACCACTGTAAAATTCAAGAATCTCA